CAACGCAGGCTCCGGGGAGGATGCGGTCCGCTGCCAAGATGGGTACGGGCCCCGGGAAAATGGGTTTTTAAAGACCCGCAGTCGGTGCACCCGTTCCGCTGGCTCTCCCGGCAGGAACGGGCGTGCAGGGTTAAGTAATTTCAGGGACTAGCGCTCCACGACGCCTTAGGGCAGCCATCACGACTGCCCCCCACCCCCATCTATGTCCCCCTTTCCCCTCCCCCTCCCCCGCAACTCACAGGGACCCTGTCCGGGTATTTCTTCCGGATCTTTTCTCCTTCCTTTTTCCGATACTCGAAGGGATGGTCCTCCTTATACTGGAACTTCATGATGAACCGCAGGTTTTCTAAGATCCCCGGGCGGGGCCTTGCCTCCAGGGCTGAGGACTGCGTCGCTCGCGTCGGGGCCTCCTTATGCCAAATGTCAGGACGTCTCGGGATCGCCTCGGAAATGGCAGCTCCCGTCGCACCGCAGCTCTAGGCCGAGCTCTGGGAAGGGATCTCGGCTCCTCGCGTCTGCAGGTCCAGGCAGGTCGGTGAAGAACCCGCGGCGGCTTTCCCCGAAAGCTGGGAACACAAAACAACACGGCGGCGCGTTGGATTGTGACGTCACGGCGCCCCGCCCTTCGCCCCGCCCCCGGCGCCCCGGACCCCGCGGGGATGGGGGGGGACAGACACACGTGGTTGACTTCAGTGTGCTCTCTTCCTATCTAACCTTGTCCTAAATAGAATCCATTGCAAACGGAAACGGATTTTATACTTCTTATTCTATGGAGAGTGTGACATGCAAAAAGGTTTTTAAAACAACAAAAAAATGTTCTAAAGATGTCTTCTTCCCTCTTCCTCGCTGTGTCTTGGTTGGGTCCAAAAACAAACGGAAAAACCAGCCTTTTCCAGCTGGTTGGGATCTGGAATCTGGGGAAACCGGGGACGAGGGTCCTGGGGTTCCATTGGCCGGTGGTGCAGACATGGCCTGCGCTTGCATGTTGCCCTTTGCTGCTTCGCCGGGCACCTTGGGAGCGAGGCTGGCTTCCTTAGCCGGTGACCCCTCCTTCACCACGTTGGCGTCATTTTGTTTGTGTTCCTGCTGCCGTTTGCGCCTAGAACAGGAACATAAACAAATCGTGACTCAGGAATTCGAAGAGACGTATTAGGTGAAGGGCATGAAGTGTAATCAAGGTCCCCAGAGGGGTGTCAGCCATGTCTCCAAGGGCTGCATGCATGCTCAAATATAGAAATGATTCACTTTCTCCTGTTAGCTCAGAAGATGGGGAAAGAAAATATCAAGATTGAAGTGATTAACTCAGTAGTTCTTCTCAAACTTTCTTTTTTCTTATACAAGCATTTACCTGAAGGATAGATAGGACTACTGCTTAAGTGTCCCCAATGTGAATAGAAAGTGCCACCAGAAAGGGTGGCGGGCCCTCCCCTTACCTCCCCAAGAATCAAAGGGACTAGGGCTTTTCCAGCCTCTATTAATGGCAGGGACCTTTTGGGGAAGGGCAGCAGAAAGTATAAGAAGTGTGAGGAAGGGCTGCTTACCCAGAACAAGCTCAGGAAGTTCTGAAAACTGTATGAGACAGCGCAGCCAGTGTGGGTCAGTTGTTGAGCTTGGACCTATGAACCAGGAGGTCAGGGTTCCATTTCTGGTCAGGGCATATGCCTGGGTTGTGGGCTCAATGCCCAGTAGGGGGCGTGCAGGAGGCAGCCGATCAATGATTCTCTCTCATAGTTGATCTTTCTCTCTCCCTCTCTCTCCCTTTCTCTCTAAAATCAATAAAAAAAATATATTTTTTAAAAAACTGTATGAGACAAAGGGCAGCCCCTGTCACCTACATTGTATCAAGTCTCAGTGTCTCTGATTTAAAAAATAAAGCCACAAAATAAAAGAAACGAAGCTGTACTGTTGAAACAGGAAAGAGAATTGTATAGCCCTACTTCTTGATGTTAATTATTTTTCACCCTGGCATCTTTCGGTCATTTTTATGGGTGAAAATCCACCCCAGAGATGAGAGGAATGTTAAAGAATTTGTGAACATGTTTTAAAACCACCACTATTATTCAAATCCATTCTTAATTAGTCTTTAAGTTTTGTCTTTATCATTTCTAGGAGAGAGAGAGAGAGAGAGAGAGAGCTCACTAAAGCCAGAAAAAATATAATAAAACCATATTGTTACAGAGTAGTAAGAAGCTAAAAAAAATTCAGTACAAGCAGAATAGGGAAACTAAGATAGTTAAACAGCAGTTTGCAGCCACCTGATAGTAAATATTATCTTCCCGAAACCAAGGATACTTAAGAGTAAATGGTTTGTACTTCACCTCCCCAACCACAGGGTAAATAGCATAAATCATTCTACTCACGAAGACAGGTAACAGAACCCCAATTATTCCATTTGCCAACCACACCTAAGGACAGACAAATTAAGAGAATAAATCTCATTTTGCTACATCAGCATAAAGATGCTGAATATTCTATTGATTCTCCCCTAAGACCTCCCCTAAACACCCAGCCATTAAAACCCCTGAGAATGAAGGTCCCAGTTCTCTCTCCCTCTAGAGAGCATGCCTGTGCCATTCCCTCCCGCTCTCCTTCCCCCACAGGCACATATCTCCTCAACTTCAGAGACCTCGGGAGACTTGCAACCATGGAAGCAATAGGCAGTGGCAGGTTGGTCGTCCAAGGCTAACCCCTTGAACCTGTCTCCAAGTGAGCCTTTTTTCTGACTTCCCAGTGGGCCTAGGCCTCTGTTACTTCTATGCCCTGCCTAGTTTCACTGTCCTAAGTGTTTTTGCTTTCCTCAATAAAGTCTTGCTTGTTTTTCTACACTTTGTCTCTTGACTGAAATCTCTCCTTCAAGAAGGCAAGAATCAAGTTCTCATCAACTCGCCTGTAACACTATTTCAATGTGTCATTTCTTTTCTTAATATCATTCCATGGTTATGGATTCTCTGTTGACCTTGGGGAAAAATTCAATAGAAACATTACAATAAAGTTGAGGAAATTTCCTAGGAAGTAAAATAGTAAGACAGATGGAAAGAGGGCAAAGGGATGCAAATTAGAGTTTCAACATTCAAATGCTAGGAGTCTCAGAGAGAATTCAGAAAATGGGGAAGGGAAGTTAGATTTTAATTATAACAGCTAGGTTTGCCTTAAAAATCCTAAGGGAATTTTGTGACAAGCTAAATTATCATTTAAAGTATAAGGGTAGTACATGACATTCCTTAAACATGGAAACCAAAATTTCATTGTATCTGTTTTCAGGAAGCACCTGCAAAATGGGTAAGTAAACCAAGAAAGGAAAAGACATGGGATACAGGAAACAGGATTTGACACACGAGAGCGATGAGGATAATCACCAAGGTAGTAAAAGTGGTTAATAGTTACTAATGTTTTAAAATACAAGCTTTATGTATAGTATGTGTATATTAGCTCCCATAGTCCTCACATAATAATGTAATATACTCACTTTATCCCAATTTTACAACAAGAAATTGAAATATAGAACTATTAAGTAACTACACCGTGATTGATTGGACAAGGAGTAAGGGAAAGAACCAAAGTATTAACCCACAAAGCCTGCTTCCCATTGAACTCATATAATCAAATTGTGATATATTAGTAACTATATTTAGAAGATAGGAGGACACAAGAAATGTTCAGAGTGTTATGGTGGTGTGGGGGTCCAGAACGAGCCACCCCAAGATGTGCTTCAGTGGACTGCAGATTACTTTGAGATTTTAGATTAGGCTCCGGAGAAACTTCTACCCCACTTCCCCTTGACTATCTGGAGGAATTTGAATTAGAGACCTTGCCCGTAAGAGATTATCGGAGATAACTGTTTTTGACCTGTCAATGTACAGGCCAAGGCAAACTACTAATATTGAATGTCTGCTCTTCTTATCATCCTGCAATGACCTTGGAAGCCCCCAGTGCACCTTACCTCACCTCTAGCTCAGGATGTCTTAAATACCTCAATCCCCCTTTCTATCGCTGAACCTCTCATGTATGCAGGGTCTCTGACTCTCTCATGTGGGTGGGGTTCCTCAGCACAGAAGATTAACTTTGATTTTCTCTTGTCAATCTGCCTCCTGTTATTTTGATTATTCCAGCCAGCCAAAAAGAACCAGAAGGGGAAAGAGGAATTTTTCCCCTTCCCCATAGTAGCAAAGGTAGGGATCATGGTAATAAAAAAAATGGCTAAATTTTCATCTTCGACAATGCAACATATGCATAGTATTTGGAGAAATGCAGAATTTACAGAATCAGCTAAAAAGTAGGAAGTTCTCGTATATGTATGTGTGTGATGGGAAGGTGCTACTTTCCTTCACAAGCCTTGTCGAGGTCTTTGATGTTTAAATCTCTATTAATGTATACATTCGATGAAAGGAAATAGAAATTAAACTTAAAAATAAGAGCAAAAGGCTTTTCAGTTTGTTTTTTAAAGTCTTAGGAAGCTGAGTGGAAAACCAGCTTAGACACTCAGCTCCCTGCAAATTACATCACTGCTCTACAATTTAGTCTCCTACACAAGGAGTTTGGAGAGCCAAGTGGTGCCCTGTGGGCATTCAAATGGTAATGTGTACTTGCCAGTTATTCGACTTTTAATAACCTTTGTCCCCTTTGAATTGAATTTGCATTTATCTACTTTGGTACTCACTGAGTTTGAATTTATAACACTTTTGAGAGAGGGAAAGGGTAGTTAGTACTCAACTTTACCACCTATGATAATTAGTATTAACACCATAGGGGAGCGCAAATTCTAAATCTAGTTAGTGCAAGAGGGGAGTAAGAGAGATCCTGGACAGGCAAATTGGATATACAAACTGGTACTCCAGAAAGGTCTAGACACTTGGAACATTGATATCACTTGCCAAACAAGGACTGCAGTCACCACAGGGCAACATGAACAATTAAAGCATGAGTACCGTGAGGCTGAAATAAAGAGGTGTTACATGTAGCCCGCCTTTTTTCATGACTCTGCCTATAACTAAGCTTTTATGAAAAAAGTTGAAGAAGTATGTCTGTGAGGTAGACAGTTCAACAGCCATTCACTAGTCTCCCTGTCTTCTACATCTCACATCTCTTCTCTCCTGACAGCCAAAACATCTTGCAAGCCACATGATCTCTTTCCCCTCTTCAGAAACTTAACAGTGGCTTTCATAGCATGCAGGATAAAGATCAAACTGCTTAAGCGCCTATGTAATGCCTTCCATAAAAATGCCAACCTGTCTTTCCAGATTCATTCTTATTATATCCCTTAGCATTTTGAACACTCTCCACGATTCACTTCTCATTATTTCTATCTTTGCTCATTGACAGAACATGCTCGTATCCTGTATATCTAGTGTTTAGAATTCTAATTTGTTGGGTTTCAACTCAAATACTACCACTTTCATTTCAAACTCTTAAAATCATGAGGTGATTTTCCGAAGTGGGCAAGTATAATTCTGGCTTCACCAGGGTGAAGGTGCCAACAGAAGGACCCTGGCCAACATTACTCAGAGACAGCATGCAAAATATTTTCCACAGTGAACTCTCAATATATCTTGGCCAATCCATAAATCACTCAAATTGTTTTCCCAGTCAGACAGCCTGCTCAAGGGCAGATTTCCCATTATGGCCTCTTGATTACCTTCCAGACAATCTGCTTATCCAAGGAAAAGAAAACACAGCTTGCTGTTCCCAGACTTTGCAATTTTTCTCCCCGTCTCTTAAATTGGTTACATAAACCCCATTTTTGCTTTATTCCCACATACCCATAGATAAATGAGCTCTTTTTAAAAAATATGTTTTTTATTTATTTCAGAGAGAGGAAGGGAGAGGAAGAGAGGGATAAAAGCATCAATGATGAGAGAGAATCATTGATCAGCTGTCTCCTGCACACCCCCTATTGGGGATTGAGTCCACAACCCCAGGCATGTGCCCTGACTGGAAATCGAACCCTGACCTCCTGGTTCATAGGTTGATGCTCAACCATTGAGCCATGCCAGCTGGGCAAGGCCCTCAGCACTTTTAACTAGGACTTTTACAACAGGCTCCTAGGTGGAATTAAGACCTGACTTCTTCACACTTCAGCTAAGATCTCAGACTTTCACCAGAATATCTTTCTAAAACACTGATCACATTATGGAACTCTCCTGCTAAAAATATATTAAGTAGCTCATCATCTTCTAGTTCAGTGTCTGAATCATTTAGTACAGGCTTACAATGGGCACTTTTTTTTCAGCTCTATACTCTCCTTCCATTTTATAATACATAATTCATATAAAACATTTGTATTGTACTAGTAAAGGGAAGAAGCTAACAGAAAATGAACAATTAAAGAATAAGCAAGAGGAAGAAGAAGAAGATGGGAAGTTGAATATCTCGTTCATAACCACATACAAGCTTTATCTTAGATTAAGTTGGCTTATATTTTACCAAGACTATGAAATGCCTTTTCCCCATTTTAGAAATTACTGCCTTGAATTCACCCTTAAATCTGGTTTTATTCAATCTTTCCCATCATAATAAACACTAATACCTTTCATGTATTGGCTCAGCTCAATGATCTAGGAGTCATTTATTACTCATGATGATGGTATCCCAATATATCTTTCAAATCCCTACAGTTATCGCTACTTTCATCTCTAATATCACCATGGTAGTCCCATCCACAAGCATCTCTTATCTACTCTTCTTCAATAGCCTCTCATCTGGTCTTCATGCTTTCATTCACTGCTCCAGTTCCTTCTCCTGTAGCATTCACTCACTGTTAAAATTCAAATTGCATAAGTGACTTACTGTTTAAAATCCTTCAATGACTTCTTGATGCATGTAAAATATAGTCTATACTCCTTGCCCCCAAGGCCCCTTGTCTCTCTCAGACTCCATTTTTGCAGCTCCCTCCTAAGCTAACTAAATCAACTAGTCCAGTCTTTTTTCAGTTTCTCAAATTTACCCAACCGTATCACATCTTTGAAAATGCTCTTTCATCACTCTGCCTTTCCCAATGGTTCTTTGCACTCTTCATGTTTGAAATATATATTATATTAGAAATATATATATATTTGAGGCCCAGTGCATGAAATTCATGCACAGGAAGGATCCCTAGGCCTGGCCAGTGATCAGGGCTGATCAGGGCCTTCCGGCTGCTGGCCAGGGTTTCCTGGCTGCCAGCCAGGGTCTCCATTCCATGGCTGCTGGTGGGGCCTCCCTTCCCCGGCTGCTGGCTGCCAGTCAGGGCCTTCCTTCATTCCACGCCACCTCCTGGTGGTCAGTGCACATCATAGCAAATGATCGGTCTCCAGTCGAACTCCCATGGGGACAATTTGCATATTAGGCTTTTATATATGTAGATTTGCTTTTTCTTAAGCTTTGTGAGGACCAAGAGTCAGAGTACCTGTGTTTCTTGCACACTTTTATACCTCCAGTTTGCCTCAGCACTATTCTTGGCACATAATTTCCATCGAATCAAATGTAATACAACACACAATTAGAACTATTATTATTGGGAAGCAGGAAGGACATCTATTTCATTTAGACAGAAGGAAAGAGGAAAGGAGAGGTTCAGAGCCACAAGGGTTGTAGCTTTGGGCTAGAAAGTTACCTGGAAGCTTTGATTTCCTGTCTAAACTAAGAGGACAAATCCCCTGCCTAGAATTAACGAGTAGGTTATGGGGTGTGAGTTTTGAAGAGAGATATTGAAATTTGAATAACTACTGAAAGGAATGGAAAAATTACTAAAGAAAATCTAGAAGAAATGGTAAATGGTCCTGGTGTGTTGGAGATCATGACCTTGTAAATGACCTCAATCAGCAGCGTTGAGAGATTTTCTGCAGCTCTTCTGTTCAGCAGTGTAGGCTTTGGGGAGAAATCAGTTAGCTTCAATGAACCAATGTTTAAAGTTTGAAGAATAGGTGTGAGGAATGTTTAAAGGGGTTAAAATTTTTTGAGAACAGTGGCTAAAGTGATTGAGCTTATTAACAGATATCTTAGATAGAGTAGATAAAGAAGTGAAGTCACATGGGTGCTACCAGCTTGTGACAAAATGGAATGGTGGCAGGAGTGAACTCCATGTAGCTACTAGAGGGGCAGAGGGGCAGGGAGAGATGGGGCAGAGAGATCTCTTTAGAATAAGGTAGGATTTCTTCCAAGATCTTATTATACCTGACAACATTTTAACTTAAGACTATGGTATCTTGAAGGACAAATGAAGCAAGAATATTTCACAGATTGTGTGATAATAAAGTGATTCATTTGGCAGCAGCAAAACAAGGCCAACTTGTGCTATGAACAATTCATGCATTTCAACAATTTCCAGAGGCAATTTGATAAATGACCCAGGAAAAACGCAGATCACCAGCAGGTTATACTCAGAATAGTTTCCCTCTGGCGGGGCTGAGTGAGCATTCCTCCAAGAATGTACTTAATGAGGCACTGACTGCACTAATCAGTCATTCCTGGCTCTGTGATGTCTCCCTGAGTACTGGAGCTAATTTCCTAATAAATGAGTTTGTTCAAATGTTCCCTACCTCTACACAGAACACATTAACAAGAGTTGCATATCTTTAGTTGTTTACCTCAATTAAAAAATATTATTGATGAAATAAAGCGACTTCAGGTGTGACTTAGCACTATCATAGCAAAAGGAGGAATCAGACATAATTTTCAGTAGGATCATAGCAGGCAGATGAAAATCAGACATCTGTATCAAGAATAAAAAAAACACACGTGCATAATACTTTACAAATCTGTCATATATACTTAGTTTATTTGACCCTCACATCAAACTTGTGAGGTGTTATCATTGCCTGTCCATCGTACAGATGAAAAAACTGTGCTTTAAAGATTCCATTGGGTTATCTAAGGTCACTGCTGAATAGAATTCACTTCCTCAATTTTCCAATAGTATTATACTTTGGAGGTAGTATGCTACGTGGGCAGTTCAACATGGCACAAGGGGATGGTGCCTTGGGAAGGATCTCATTTAGGCTTGGTTCAGTTTGTGCTCCCGGTAATGGAGAGGTGTGCAGATAGGAGGATGCATTTCTATCATGGCGCCATTAGGTGGCAGGAAAGGCCACCACTAGAGTCTAGTGCTTGTCACTAGATACTTGGTTTCAAGTGGTCAACTCAGGCAGGCGAAAAGAAGCAAAGCAATACTATTCTTTCAAAGTTAGAAAAGGGTGCGTGTGTGTGCTCAAGCACGTGCGTGCATGCGTGTGTTCACAGGGCAGAGGAACTGAAAATTGAATAGAACTGTTACTGTCCTCTGTGCACTGTCCAATACCACTGGTAGGTAGGACCAGAGTGAAAGAAAGACCTTTATATCTGGCATTTCAATATATATTGTGTTCTCCTAGCCCACACTGCAATCCCACCCTTGGATTATGGATGTCCAGTTAGGTATTACATGATGTCCAAGATGACCATTGTCAGTCAGTGTCAAAGTGGGTGTTCCCTCAAGAGGAAAAGTGAATTTGGTACATTAATGCTTATGGCTCCTCAAGCGTATTCTACCCAGGTGCTGGTAGAGAAGAGCAACTTGCAGTATCATGTGGGTGAAGGAACTCAATAGTTGAAGGAATTCAAGAAATCTTTGACACATTGCTAGAGGTTAGTTGCAAATTTTGGTATTGGATAAATAATGAGAGTTCTTGATTAGAGCATTCCATATCGGAAAATAATATGTGGCTGGAAATGAAGCGTTGGAATCCATGTTTTCCACTAGATGATGTTTAGATTCATCCTAAATCTTCTGAAAGGTAGCAAAAAAATGTCCCATCTGTCTATCTTTACCAACTCTGCAGATGTCCCCGCCCCATTTATAAAACCGAAGTTCCCATCAATTTGGAGCGTGTTCTCCTTGAGGAGACACCTTCTCCACCGGAGGCAGCTGCTTCTCTTCTGGCACTGAGGGTAGGTCAGGTGCTTTCGGCCCACACCTGGCCACTGTGAAGCGACTCATGTGAAGAGCTTCCTCATACCCTGGGAGGGTGTCCACGGAGGAGGGCAGCTGGCCCAGCGGGCTGTGGGAGTGGGCCACCGCCAGGATTCTCCGAGCCGCTGGGCCAAACACTGACTGCAGGGCTGGTGAGGGGAGAAGGAATAGAGCGAGAGTAAATGTGACAGCCTCAGAAATCAGGCTTACAACATTCTAAGTTTCCCTCTACCTTACAACTGACCAAACTCGTTATCAACTCTGCCACAAATGTTATGAAACCCCTGTGCAGCTTGTTTAAAAACCAACTTTACTTTCTGCTAAAAGACCCTGTCTTCTCTGGTATCCTCGAATAATCTAAATGGGGTTCCCATATCCCACCATCATCGGCAGATTTTGAACCCTTTAGACCAGGGGTTCTCAACCTGTGGGTCGCGATCCCTTTGGGGGTCAAACGACCCTTTCACTGGGGTCGCCTAAGACCATCGGAAAACACATATATAATTACATATTGTTTTTGTGATTAATCACTATGCTTTAATTATGTCCAATTTGTAACAATGAAAATACATCCTGCATATCAGATATTTACATTATGATTCATAATAGTAGCAAAATTACAGTTATGAAGTTGCAACGAAAATAATTTTATGGTTGGGGGTCACCACAACATGAAGAACTGTATTAAAGGGGTCGCGGCATTAGGAAGGTTGAGAACCACTGCTTTAGACCGACCCGCTAATGTTGCAGTCTCCTTAGAAATATGTATTTCTGCCTTACTTATCTTTTCTCAAAATGACTGGGAGGCAGGAAAGGTGAGCAACAACACATCACATTGTTCTCTTTGCAAAATGAAAATCACAGTGTTTTGCCACCTATTGTTCTGCCTGGTATTTGCAATCCAATTTTAGTAAATACTATACTATAAAGAAGAGAACAGAAGAAAATAAAGTGTCTTATGGTCATCACAAGAATGTTGAGGCTCATACTTTGTGTATCAAGAGGTGGAGAATAGATCCCATCTGTGGTAGACAGATAGATACGAGCAGAGCAAGGATGATGGGCCAGGTCGAGAAGGTCACCAGGGTGAAAAGCCCCAGGTGCCCAGCAAAACTGGGAAAACAAGAACCTTACCCCCAGGGTAACATTTCCTCCCCTAGCCTATCTCTGATCCTGCTCTTTAGATCTCTGCAGTTCAGCCTGACCTTTCCTCTCTTGGCATGTTGCTAGTTATGAGGGTCAGACCCCGGCTTAGAGGGGGAACCGGAGAATAGCCCTGAAGCATTAAGCTCCATGACAGTTTTGATCAGCATAAAACACACCTAGGCCTCCTTGTGTTTCAGCCCCAAGCCCAGAAATACAGCAGAACCAGACAAGAGGCGCCAGGACTGACATCATCAGAACCAAATGCATTGACTTATGAGCCCCCCTTCCCTCCTCCCCCGCCCTGGTGCCAACCAATCAGAGGAGACTAGGACCCTGAAAGAACACTTCTGAAAAACTGATGAATATGCTATTGAGATCCCCCCCCCCCCTAGACCTCCAGAAACACCCTCAGGAGGGGCCCCAGTGCAGTTCCCTATGGGGCAGCCCCAGGCCTGTCCCCGCTCCCTCCCCAAGGTGAGTTTTCCACTCCTCTCTCTGATCCTAAGCAGCAAGGGTCCTTCTTTTGCCTCCGTAACACTTGTTTCCCAAGCCCATTTCTTCTCCAGCTCACTTCCTCTACCTCTATGACTTGCTTTCTTTTTTTATCGCCCCCAACACTTTTTTCCTTTTTTCTTTCTCTGACTTTCTAAGTAAACTTTCTCTTATAAAAAAAACAAAAACAAAAAGACTTGGAGAATAAATAACTGAAAATACACATGACAAATTTCTCTAAATATATAATAATTCCAGATAGAACATGTGGGTTTTTACAAAATCCAAGACTTTTTGTGGTTGTTGTTAATCCTCACCTGAAGCTGTTTTTCCATTGATTTTTAGAGAGAGTGGAATGGAGAGGGAAGGACAGAGAGAGAGAGAGAGAGAAACAGAGCCAAACAAGCTAGGGCCCAAGACATTTTTGAAAAAGGGGTATGCTTAGAGCTTAAGCCAATTTTATTAACTGTAACTATTTCTGAATTGGGTAATTCTTCTCACAAAACATTTCCAACATCATCTCCAGCATTTCATTTCTTCCTTCACTCTCTCATCAGACAAGAACAATGGTTGTGATTACAGTGTGGCTGACAGCACAGGTCACTGCATCACCAGGCTTCTGGTCATTAAAACAACTCTGAGTTACAGCTTCTTTACTGTTCAACCAGGTGTTTTAATACCGTTGTACCACCCTGATCGCGTGTTTGAACCCGGTTCCCTTCCCATGGAAACAGTCAGTGTACTCACAGGTGATCGTGCTCTGGAGAGTGCTATCATGATCAAAAGCGATGACTGTCACTTCGTAGGGTGGCCGGCCCTCATCTTCCCCATTTTGCTGGCGACTCAGGCAGCAGCGGAAGCACACAGAGGTCAGGCCACACAGGAGAAGCAGGGCGCCAATTACCACCAGCAACCTGCAAGGAGCCCACCAGCACCAGAGCTCTGGGTTCTGCTGCGTTTCCTAACTTGGGCATAATCAGCCCTCCACGTCTGTGGTTTGATTCTTGTGTGGATCTTTTATAGAGTAATTATAAGATTTTAATTCCAGGGCTTTCACTTCACATGTTATACTTCCCTACTTTGTCAGCAGGACAGAGTCCATTTGTTAGAAAATTAGTAAAAGGTTTAATGTGACTTGGAGGGGCTGCTTTTTACTTTACTGAAGTAGCCTCTATAGGCTATTTTAGAGCTGATCTGAGGATGTAGACAATAATCTGTTGATGTTGCCCGGGAAGATGGTATTGAAATAGGAAATCCTGTCATATTGTCACATAGGGTGGCGATGAAGTAAAGAAACGACTCCATGTGATGCTATGCAAGTAAGTAGGCTGGCGGTCTCATACACATTTTTTTTCCTGCTGTCAAATATATTTAAACTAAACAAACAAACAAATAAAAACAGTGGCTATTATAGCTGAAACTTACCATATGTACCAGAGATGTACCCAATCTGTGGTCAGGCAACTATGAAGAAAGAATAAAGTTTTTGCAATAAAAATATAGTTAATTCCTATTATGATTCCAGAATCAAAACCATGAGTTACAATAATATGATCCCTTGTTATGATAAAAGCATCCCAGGCTATATTAACTTCAATGTAATCTATTGTGTAATGGGATGCTTTAAATAGTTTTCTATGATAGATGGCAGTATGTAAATCATTTCATAAATCACTATAAGACAGACTAAAGTAGTGCTCATGAATTAATATTCATAGAAAATATAGCCATGACTATTGTAAATAGTTACGATGAGAGTTACCAAGAAAGAACTTCCCAATGCAAGTTTAAAAGAGGTTGAGCCTGACGGGCATGGCTCAAGGGTTGAGTGTCGACCTATGAACCAGGAGGTCACGGTTGGATTCCCAGTCAGGGCACATGCCCAAGTTGCAGGCTCGATCCCCAATGTGGGGTGTGCAGGAGGCAACTGATCAGTGATTCTCATCATTGATGTTTCTCTCTCTCTCTCCCTCTCCCTTCCTCTCTGAAATCAATAAATATATTTTTAAAGAGTTTGAAAATGGGTGTGAAAGTTAACATTTGTATATATTTGAGATCAATAAAATTTAAACATAAAGAAAATTTTGGTTATAAGCATGAAAGCAATACAACGAAATTCATAATTTATGTATTGCAAGTTGTTGCAGAAAGGGCCACCATAAAAACTCCCACCATAAAAAGGGCCCTAAATTTTCACATCCAGAATCAAAACTGATATACATGATGGCTGAGGCCAAACAAAACGGGGAAAATGTATAAACCAAATTCATCATGATGAAAGCTAATTAAATATTGTGAATTAACTAGGAGAATTATACATTTTCTCTATTGGGATAAAAATGTGGATTGCATAAGGGGAGTATGGGATAAGCTCAGGAGTGGGAAGGGGAAGTAAAGGAAAATGTTTGTTTATCTTTAAAGACGGAGTAAATTTAATATTACTTTCTGATATATTTATCTATTAAAATCTACTGAAATGCGCACTCTAACCTTTCGGTGGTTTCGCAGTTGTGGAACATACAGTTGGCATTTTCACTGAACAATGTCTCCTCCAGGTTTTCTCACATTCCCCCTCACCCCCACCCTCTTTTCCCCTATTGTGTTCATCAGTTTATTTTGCTCTTTAGATTCCACACATAAGTGAGATCATGTGATGTTTGTCTTTCTCTGACTGGCTTATTTCACTTAGCGTAATAATCTCCATTTGAACATTCCCCATTGTTCAAAGCCCTTTATAGCTCTACGCTGTGATTCTGATTCTATTAAAATGACTCTTCCTATGGTGATGCTGAAACCTCAGAGAGAGTGTGAAAGTAACCAAGGCCATCACCATTTCCCTTGGGTATAACATATTTGCATTGAGAAACTCTTCCCATGGCTAAATATGTGTTTTCCTTCAGCCTGAGCAAATCTTCGCTCGAAACTGTCATTGATTTTTTTTTTACTAGTTTACCTCTAAGTGGAATGAATCTTTCCCCTTTATATCCTTTGTGTCTACATAAGACCTAATTGTGATAGGTTTAGATTAAGGGGTAATTATCTCAAAGTAATAGCTAAATAAAGGCTGCAATAAATATTAACATGCCCTAAAAAATAAAATGCCCCAGATTTGAAGTGGTGATGTACCTTTGGAAATCACCCACATGTATCTGACTGTGACTAAGATATTGAATCCAGTCTGTCTGCATGAGTCACTAAAAATCATGAGTAAGAAACTCTTCTGCAAATCTCTATGACTGCATAAATTGCGATGATTAAGTCGGCTGCTTTTAAAACTGGCTTTGGAAAAAAACGCTGTCAGCAGTTTTATTCTGAGTATTTCAGATGACAAAAATGCATGTCTTTATTTTGGGATAACCCGTCTGTGGGCTAAGTGCCCATTTAAGTAGAAATAAGGGAAGTCGCAGATATCCGATGACATTTTGACCCTGTTTTGGGTATTGATGTTTTTGTCTGTCTCTCCTTCCTCCGCAGTTGGACTCTCAGATACTTACTGTTCAGGACTGACACAGCTCTCCTCACATCTTGCCCAAGGAAGCTGTAGGAAGGGAAATAGTCTCAGACAGGGAAACTGTCAGATCTTCTCTGCCCACCAGCCTATGACTGCTATGTTAGATCAGTTGGTGAGAGCAGGGTAAATGCGAGGACAAGGTCATGGGGTCAACCATGTTCAAGACTGTTTGTTTTCATCTCTCCAATACCCATCCATTACTGCACTTGAGGTGGGAGAACCTGGAAGAACAAATATCTAATCTGTTTGTGTTTTTTTTTTCTTATGGTGGTGGCTGAGCATCACTGCCCTGTGAATGAGAGGCAGCATTTATATCAATTCGTTTGTCCTAGAAATTTCCCGATCTGTCCCTCAGGATATTGTGACTGTCTTCATAACTCGTTCCCAGTACAAAATGAATTCTGCCCCACTGCTCTTTTTCATTCCCTCGGTACATCCATAACTTACCATACAAGAGAAGAAGAATTTGAGAAAACGTATTGAGTAGCTACTATATGCCATTCAGAAGGCTAATAATTTTTAATATTTCTTAACATTTCATTGTGAAAACCATGTAGGTGAATATATTTAACCTTATTTTAAATAGGTAAGGGACCAAGGCATAGGGGTTTAAGTAACATGACCACCTGCACACACCTCTTGATTTGGCCATAACTCAAATGAACCAGGGACAAATCTGCTCTATCAGCTCCTTGACATTGTTAGCAAGTCCCTTCAACTCCTTGTAAAGAAAGAAACTTCCACTCCTTCTCCTACCTTACATTTTGGCTGACTTTCTCCTTCAAAAACCTCTCTAGGTAAACGTTTGTTCTAGAAACTGTTTCTCTCTTCCAATAACTTGAAAGACTTGGTATTTCAGGAAACCAACAACAAAGACCACAAAGGTCCTCTAAAAAGGGACAGAGATTTACATTTACTTGGGGTTTTATGCGGGGTGTGCGGTGGGGGGGGGGAGTGCACACATACTTCTAATGTATCAGAAAAGGATTTTGTAAAAAATCTAACAGCTGCCTTCTGCTGATAACATTTGAGAAACTACTGGTTTTGTTTTAATTTAAAATAGTTGACCACTAAGGATGACAAAGTGTGAGTTTCTTCAACCCAGTTTTGGTGCTTGGTTTCTTGACTAAAGGCTAGAAACACTGAAAGTTCTCAGCAGATAAAATGCCTCTTTCAGGCCTGTTGCAAAAAGAGAAGGAAAAGAGAAAAGGAGGGAAGGGAAGGTCAAGAGAGAGAAGAAGAAGCAAAAAAGAAAATACAAGAAAAAGAAAAAAAAATGGATTTTCAGACATTAATTTGACTGTTATACAGGAAGCAAAACAGACACAGCCCACACTCTGCTAGAAGTGGTACAGGAACCTGATAGTAGGCAGTTTCTTCATTTGCTCTCCTTAACGGATTTCATAGCTGTGTAAACTTCCCCTTGATAGTTGTTCAGAATCCCTTAGTCCAGTGACCCCTCTCCCAGCTAAATGAGTTACTCAGGGGCTTCTGATTCTAGTGGGGAGAAAAATGAAAGATCCAAAGTATTTTTAAAGAGTTTCCTCTCTTTTAATTTAATGGAGGCACCTTTAAACTCCAAGAATAGTATTAGGGCTGATGTGGGAAAGTCCATTTAGGAGAATTACACACCTAGTTTTGATCATTTGCTTGGGAATTTGAGGGATGAGTGATAAAATGTTAAAAGAGAGAAATATGCACGCGGAAGTGGCATTTCTAAATTGCCATAGATACCTGACTTGTATCTACGGTGGCCCTAATTTCTGTCCCCTGTTTCAATGATGTTATCATTCGTCACACTTGCACTATGTCGCCCTATACCATAAAGGAAACATTCTAGTTATTCATTTGCCACTAACCCCTTTTGTCTTCCCCCCTCATTCGTTTTCCCCCAGATTCTTCTGAGAGTTTGTTTATCCAAGAAACAAAAACAAAAGCGTTATTCCCGCATTTTCACAACTTACCTGGATGAAATACACCAGGGTAGAGGCCAACACGGTGTGGACTCTCAGTCCCATGGGGCTGAACTCCTGCGTCTCCGGGATCACGCACTGGGTGTCCGTTACCTGCTTTCCATGTTCTGCTGCTTCCTTTTCGTGCTCTGCCCCTTGTCTGACTTCTTGACCTAGAGGACTTAGGAGAGACACTTTTCTTAACAATAAATCACTGTTTTCTTTTCTCTCTTTCTCTCTTCTTATTCCCCTGGGCTTTTTATTTTCCATGATCTTTCCCTTCCTGTTCATCCTGCCTTCTTTCTCTTTTCTATTCCTGGTTTGAGGGTTTCCACATTAGCTCCCCTTTGTCTTTTCTTTCCTTCCACTATTAGTACTTTTCTATATGTCTTTAGCTTTCTCCCACTGCCCCCAAAAGAAAGACATTTGACGAAGACGCATCAGTCCTCGGAATTAGGTATTTTTCTAGGCAGTGAGGAGAAACTTGACTTGGAGGAGGATCAAAGAGAGATTGCTCTTCTCCATCAGAAAAGAAGTGATCCTCTTGGTTCTTCCCCACAGCACACCAGGTGACTGTTGAAGGTTGAAAGTCACCCTGCCAAACCCCATTCACTGGCCCTCCACGTGATTAGGCCTCCTCTCTTGCTCTTTGAAACCCTCCCCTTCACTATGTTGATAATCAACTCTCCTGGTTCTGGGTCATTTATTCCTAACTATTGGAGGAGGACTGAGAGGTTGCCAAATGAACTGGAAAGCCATCCCATCTTTGGAGAAACAGATTTGGAGATTAGAATTTAGAATTTCTGGGTCATGTCCATTAAATTCCTGTCCACTCTGACTTCAATTCCCATTGAAACAAATAGTCAGACAGACTTAAAAAACAAACAAACTGGGTTCCAAAATTTCTCTCTCTCTCTCTCTCTCTCTCTCTCTCTCTCTCTCTCTCTCAAATAAAATCTTAGGTAAGAGTAAAAATAAGCACATATGGAAAAAACATATAATATTTGTAAAGAAACGTATCTATAGGAACAAATGAATGCTATTTACATGAGTTATACTTAAGTTGGTAATTACTTACTTAATACAAAGCATTTCATAAAAAAATTAGACATTAGTTTATGGAAATGTATCTATTTCATAAGAACTGAGTAAAACCAACTTTCAGACCTTTTCTAACTCTGAAAGTCTAATTTTATTGAGTGATTGTTCAGGGCAACTGTTGAGAAGGATTGAGTCCAAGAGCCCTCATACTACATGACAATGTGATGTAAGAATGGAGAATATAAAGTTATTCATTTTTTAGCTAAGGAAATCAGTGAGATAAAAGTCTCATATGACACTGATGATTCAAAACCAGTCAGTTCCAAAATTAAATGAGCAGTACTGTGCTAGGGTGAGGGACTGCTGCATGGAAGGGTTACAGAATGTTACAGAATGTGCTAAGGGGAGGAAATGAGACATGAGAAATTGAATGTGCTCGGAGGGAGGGGGATGTATGAGGAAGGATTGTGTTGTCAGGATATGGAGAAGGATTGTGTATGTGCTGGGAGGGGGGACTGACGTATGGAGAGGGATTGCAGGGTTAGGAACCATGGAAGAAAAATTGCTAGATTGTCTTAGAAAAACAATGTGTTATGATACGCTCCAGTCAGGTGTGACTCTGTTTACCCCCCCTTTGTTCTTATGAACTTTCTGTGAACTTCTAAGGTAACACTGTTTTGCTATAAAGGATCATACTGCACCCTTGATCTCTGCCACATGCTCCGAAGCTCCCAGAGGGGGAGCTAGGTGCTGTGGCCAGCTGGCCAGCTTAATAAAGGCTCTTAAATTTAAATTCTGAGTCGGTGGTCTATCTCGTTGAGCCAACCCATAACAGTACCTTTTTTTTTTTAATGTAAGGAAACTGGTGTTAAGATGAACAGTATTTTCCAAATTTCAGCAAAAAGCTTGGCAAAGTAGAAGGTATTTAATAGGAAAAGAAGAGCAGGACTCTAATCCAGGCCCTCCACTGAGTTAATAAGTTATTTCTCAAGTCCTTAATTTTCTCATTCATATAGGGTATCCCACAAAAATGTATACACACACTTTGAATAATTATAAAGGCAGTGTTTATTAAAATACATTTCATTTTCAAAATTGAATTATCAGCTGATAAAGTTTATATACATTTTTGGGGGGGAGGGGAGGAAACCTATATAATAGGAGTGGAATGTCCACTTGACCTCACCTAGATCTTGTTTCATGGAGAAAATACAATCAGAGAGACAAAGGCATTTTGATTATATTTCTTTCCGTGAACATGGGTAACACCATTAACCCTTTATTTCTCTTTGTTTTTTGTTGTTGTTTTTTAAGAGAGAAAACACTCTCTTTTTTTAAAAAAAATGTTTTTATTGATTTTAGAGAGAGGGGAAGGGAAAAGGAGAGAGAAACATTGATCGGCTGCCTCCTACACACCCCCTACTGGGGTTCAAGCCTGAAACCTGTGCATGTGCCTTGACTGGAAACCTCTCTGGATACAAGATGGCGCCCAACCAACTGAGCCACACTAGTCAGGGCTCTTTCTCTTTTTCTTAACAGAAAGGTAGTGTTGCGTCATGGCTAAGAATCCAGGTAGATTTTCTGGGATTAAATTCTTGCTTTGTCACTTACTAGCTGTGTTATATTGGGCAAGTTATTACATCTCTCTGTTGGTTAAGTTTCATTCCATATAAAATGAAGTGACAATAACAATGATGATGTTACTTCATAGATTTATAGAGATTAAATAAGTTAATGTGTGTGAAATGCATATAATTGTCCCAATATAAGAAGCATTATAAATGTTAACTACAATGACCTTGATTTCCACTCAGTTTTACCAATGACCTTCACCTTCATGGAAAACTGATGTCCATCATGCTTCTCATTGTTACCATGACCAAGTTTTACCTATTCTGACATTTCAATTCATGAATAGTTTCTCTTGCTATCCTGGCCATCTCTTCTCTCAATTATTCCAGCCTTCACCCGCATGAACAGGTTTGCCAATTAACATGACCTTTTTTCCCTCCCAGAGCACTTTTCTGTCATGTGATAACCATCAACTTCTTGCCCTACAGCTACTTAATAGGTTTGAACCAAATGGGATTCTGTTAATGACCTCCTAGCTACTTGTTCTTTTTTTTTTTAGAATTATTATTGCCACTTTTTTTTTCCCTTACTGGATTATTCCCTGGAGAAAGAGAGATTTGTGTTTATCTTTATCAAAGTGATTATACCTTGTGAGGTCAGCTGCATCTGAGAGGAAAGAGGATTCAGGAGGAAAGATTGAAGAAGGTACGCAATGGCATGGCAGGTAGCTGAGATGAAGGGGACTGATCTCATTACGATCCTACACAATCTTGTAGTTCCATTAAGCTTGTGAATCATTAGCTTAGACATAAGTTGTTAAGGACGTGGAGTGGAACAAATAGAGGGCACATGTACACAAGCTTTCAATCTATGCTCCGGGGAATTGTTATACAATAGCTGTAACAAGTGGGGTTAAAGAATTACTTATTTCTGGTTCCTTTGATTATTCTCCTTTTGACCTTGTCTAAGTCAGGTGACCAGATTCTCTTCTTCTCTTTGCCTCAGTGAAATAGAGGCCAGGACTATCATCACTCCAAAGCATCAAGCATGAATTACAAAGAGCTAAGCAATGAGCAATAGCCACGGCTTCAAAAATGCATAACATGGGAGAAGAACCCAGTTTCATCTTGTAACCACTCCACTAGGAAGTGTCTCTATGGAATGAACCAAGATTGCAGCCTCAGTATTCAGTGGCAACCTCAAAGGCATTGAAAGTCGGTGATAAGATTAAATTTAAGGAAGTTTTAATAAAACAGGAGGATAAAGTTTATCACAAGATTATTCGTTTTATGTGCCATGTAACACATTTCCACAAATTACATGAACGGCAATATAAAACCGCATTTATTATCTCACATTGCCTGTGGAAGTATGGGCATAGCTTAAGTAGGCCCTCTGCTTAGGGTCTCACAGGCTGCCATCTGCTGGACTGGGTTTTCATATGAAGGCTCAACTGGGGAGGAATACACTTCCAAGCTCCCTCTGGCAAATTCATTTCTTTGTGGTAGTGGGATTCAAGTAAGTTTTTTTTTTCTTTAAATTCAGGCAGAGAAAGAGAAGAGGGAGAGAACCTTTAGGCTCTATACCTTTTGTGATCACATGCACATGGTCACATACATACTCCAAGCCACAAATCCCACCTACATTCAAGGGCATGAACATTGGGAGGCAGGGATAATGAGACCCACTTAAAGTCTGTCAAGTCTGTCCAGCTATCTGCCCCACAAGGATTATAGAAATTATCCCCCTGGGTTTTTACAAACAGGAGAAACACAAATGTCCATCAATGGGTGAATGAATGAAAAAATGTGGTCTATACATACAATGAAAAATTATTCAACCTTAAAAAGGAAGGAAATTCTGACACAGGCTACAACTTGGATGAACCATGAAGACATTATGTTAAGTGAAATAAGTCAGATTCAACATGACAAACATATGCTTCCACTTATTTGAGGTTCCTAGAGTAGCAAATTTATAGAGACAGAGAATAGAATGGTAGTTTCCAGGAGCTGGGAGAAGGAAGGCATTAGTTAGGGCCTTCCAAAGAAACAGAATCAATAGGATGAGTATATTGAGAAAGAGTTTGATTATAAGAAATTGGCTCATACAACTATAGAGGCTGGCAAATCTAAATGTGCAGTGCAGGCCAGCAGACTAGAGACCTGGGAAAATGATGTAGTTCCAATCCAAAAGCTGTCGGAGGAAGAAATTTTCTTATTTGGAGTAAGGTCAGCCTTTTGTTCTATTTAGGCTTTTGACTGATTGGATGAGGCCCTAAATTATGGAGGGAGATATGCTTTACTCTAGTGATTCAAATATTATTCTCACCCAAAACACCTCAAAGAAACACTCAGAAGAATGTTTGACCAAATATCTGGACACCTTGTGACCCAGACAAGTTGACAGATAAAAATCACCATCATAGGAGTTATTGTTTAATGACTACAGAG